CGAACGGGACCGCACGCACAGCGTCAACACGGCCTTCGGCGCCCTCCGCCGGCTCATCCCCACCCGCCCCGCCGACCGCCGCCTCTCCAAGGTGGAGACGCTGCGCCTGGCCTCCAGCTACATCTCACACCTGGCCAACGTCCTGCTGCTCCAGCGGCGGCAGGCGGAGGCGGGGGGAGACCCCCAGCCCTGCCCGAGGCCCGAACCGCCGACCCCGCCGCCCGCCGGGCCCCCGGCCCCCCGGCACATCTGCACCTTCTGCCTCGGCGAGCAGCGGAAGCGGGTAAGGGCCGGCTCCCCAAAATCCCTCTGTTTTGCGGAGGGCGGTTGTGGGTCTCGGCAGCGGGTTTGGGAGGGTCCCAGCTGAGGGTTCCTTGGTATGGAACCATCCCACAGTTTGGGTTGGAAGGGACCTTGAAGATCATCGAGTTCCAACCACCTGCCCTGGGCAGGGACACCTCCCACCAGACCAGGTTGCTCCAAGCCCCATCCAGCCTGGCCTTGAACACCTCCAGGGATGGGGCAGCCACAGCTTCTCTGGGAAACCTGTGTCAGTGCCTCACCACTTTCAAAGAATTTCTTCCTCACACCTAGTCCAAATCTCCCCTCTTTCAGTTTAAAACCATTACCCCTCATCCTGTCGCTCCACTCCCTGATCAAGAGTCCCTCCCCATCTCTCCTGTAGCCCCCTTTAGGTACTGGAAGGAGCTATAAAGTCTCCCCAGAGCCTTCTCCAAGCTGAACAACCCCAACTCTCTCAGCCTTCCCTCATAGCAGAGGTGCTCCAACCCTGAGAGCATCTCGGTGGCCTTCTCTGGACTCGCTCCAACAGGTCCACGTGTCTCCTAACTTGTGGTTTTTATCCCTCATACAGCACCGAGAAGGAGAGAAACCGCTGTCTGGTCCAGCTTTAGGTGGACACTGAATGGGCTGAGAACCTGGCACGAATGTACCACTGCCCTGGGTAACGTCGTTGCACTCATGCTATATGTTTACATTTAAATAACGCCGTCCTAAAACAGTTATTTTGTTTTTTTTTTTTAAGCCTCTGCGCTTTGTTTCACGTTGTGATAAGTTTATTTGGGGCGTTTGGTGGCTGAGATGGAATGCTGTTGAGCCAGCGGGCACCTGGTGCGGCAGCTATTTTAGTGCCAGAAACGTTAAACCGGAGCAGCCGAGCCCCCCCCCCCCCCCCCCGCGGGGTCCCCGTGTCTCCTAAACCCGTGTCACATGGTGAAACTTGAACTTCCCAACACACACACGGCCTCTCCCGTCAGGGGGATGCTGTCACCAACGGGTTCATGCCGTTACCCCTCCGGGCCCTGCTCGGGCCGCACGCGGCGCGCTGCCGCCCACACCTCCGGCCCCCACGCCAGTTTTTGGGGTGGGAGAGCCCATCCCGACAGCTGACATGCTCGGGAGGGTTTGAACCGTGCCGGGAGATTATTTTTAAGGAGTTTGCAGAAAGTTGGGAGACTTCCAGAGAAAGGTCTGCCGTTCCCCACAGGCAGGGCAGGGCAGGGCAGCACAGGGACACAGGAGGCAGCCAGGAGAGGAGAGGGAAGTGGAGACTTTAAATAGTCCTTTAAATAGCATGGGATATTCCTAAATTTGTCTGGAAAGCAGGGGATAGGGAGGGTTTCCCAAGGGATCTCCCCGTTTACCCATCACCCAGGTGATTCCCAGATTGTGCCTGTGCATCACCCATGCCATTTATCTCCCTGCATTTTATTAACTTGTATAACTTTATTTTTTTAAGAGGTCTAAAAAGCAAATATGCATGTTATATTTTCAGTTTTGGACGTTAATGAAGGCTGATCTTAAACCCCAGTAATGGTGGGTTATTAAAAAATATATAGCTAGTTTAATTTTGCAATGGTTTTTGGAGTTATTTATAATATATCCAATAAGGCTTTAATTAATCTTAACTTTGGGAGGCACTCTGTATTCTTTACAAGCTTGGTAACTGGATACCACCCTGAGAAGTGCTGCTAAGAATACGTGTCTGGTGCTGTCTCCCCTGATGCCATCAGTTCAGTTCTCCTGTCCTCCAGCCTCCTCCTGCAGCCAGACGTGAGGAGGGAAGACTCAGCCCTGCCTCACTCTGTATAAAATATTCTCCTTTTCCCCTCACTAAGTGCAAAGCAAATTCTGGCATTTATGATGAAGAATGTGAGCAAGAACCAGATCTTGGTGTATTGTTCATGCAACACCACACTTTCAGTTTTCCTTCTCCCCTCCCAAACACGCACCGACCGCCTTTCTTTTATCACCATGGGGGAAAATCTCTTTTACCTACAGAACCTGCCCTAAAATTCCCCTTTAAGATCCTGTTCAAGAAAAATAACAAAGCAAAGTTCCAGCAATTCCACATTCACTTATTAAAAGCTACACGTTGTATTTTCCTGCACTGAGAAGAGTTTTTTGGTTTTAAAAGGTTTCCATCATTTTATTATTTTTTTTAATAGGGAACTTGAAATTGCTGCCAGATTATGATCTTTGTTTTGCTTTGGCATCGATTTGCAAAGCTGGGACTCTTTCATGCTTATACAAACTGCTTATTAATTTTTGCATTGAGTTGGTATGTGTGTGTGTGGGGATAGATTTCTACAAACAGGCCGTCCTGGCTTTTTTTGGTTTTTTAAATGAATTCAAAAAGGTTTGCCTTTTCAAAAGTTACTTACTTTATAATTAAAGCTGATCTTACAGTTCAGCTCTACAGTCTTTTGAACACATTAAACTAAAGCATCCGACCTGCTTAAAGTCAATTAATGCTAATCTAGTCATTTAGCTGTATCATTCAGTTTGATACCCTAAAATGGCAAAAAAAAATGCATTTTCAACCAAATTTAGGAAAATTTTGCGTTGAGTATACTCTGAATTTTGCAATAAAATTAATGATTTCAGGTTTTCACAATGCTGTGACTTTGTTGCAGTTTTAAGAGTTTTAAGCGTAATTCTTGGCAAATGCAGCGTATTTGAATTTAATAGGATATTAAAGGATATTAGTTATTAAAGGAAATAAGTATAAAAAAGTAAGGTCTGCTTTTGCACCATAGTACTAGCTGAAAGCTCATCACTTGAAACTCTCGTGGATAATTTGCACGATCCTACAGGAGTTTGGTGTCCTCACTGTAAATGGGATTTTATCTCCCTGGTTTTGCATAACATTTATGCAAAACACTTCTCAGTGACAAAGGAGCAGGCTGTTACAGCTTGGCCATCTCTCCTGTTTAACTTGGCTCAATGTAGCATTAAATTCTTCTTTCTTTACTCAGGAAAAAAAGTGTTGAATTCAAGTAGGCTTGAAGATTTTGGTATAATGCTCAGGTTTTCAATTACTAAATAATATTGGAATTTCAGTAACACTGATTGATTGTGGCAGAAATTAGGCCCCAGAGCACCGTAGCCCAAATATTCCTGGTATAGACAGATAATATCTATCCAAAACAATTATGACAGTGATTTCTCTGAGGAACAGACCCCAAGCTTGCATTTATATACGTTATACTATGTATTTAAATGGGGACAAGTGTAGACCCCAAACCTGCATTTATATACATGTTATACTATGTATTTAAATGGGGACAAGTGGGGACAGATCCTTTCCTTTGCTGAAGTTTATTTATAATGTAAAACTTCTCGACCCCCAGGAGCAAAACTAAAAGATGCAGGATTGAGCTGTTACTATGTAAAGTGTTTTCTATAAATCCAGGGAAACAAGAATTTAATTTCTAGAGACACAGATGAATTGAGTGCTCAGATTTCGCATATAAAGAGCTCACTCATCATTAGGTATTTTAATGAATTTTTACTGTATGAGTTTGTGTGTCTTATCAGTTCTATTTTTTAAATCATTTCACAGAGAGGCATTGCTTATGGCATGCACAAATACATATTTATAAGCCAAAATTTTGAGGGTGTCTAAAAGCAAGTACCGTACTTGATGGTCAGGCACTGGAATGATGTGAGTTTTTCTGGAGGTGCCAAGCACCCTCTTCTTTTGCTGAAAACATTGGGTTTTTTCAACATATTTGTGAGTGCATTCTGTTCTGTATGTATGAACAGAGGCAAGCCTAATGCCAGCCCCATCTTTGTTTTCCTGTAAACACCTGGCTATTCAATTTACATGATGCATGAATAAAGCAGAAACGGTACGACACACACCATTTGATCTTAGATCCTATTAAATGATTGTTAAAATATTCCAAGCATCCTACTTTGTATAAATCACTGTACTTAGCCTGCTACGTGACGGTATAAGAACAGCATCAAGCCGAACGAATAAATCATGTTGTTTGATTTTACTGGTTAAGCTTAAAGAAATATTTTAACATAGTTCTCGGTTATTTATGAATTAATCATAATGGAAGTCAAAGTACTTTCGTACATTAGCTACTGTTTTCAGTTCTGTTCTATAAAATGGTAGTTTCCTTTCTAATAACTTCTGGGAAAATCTGCTTCTTTACAAAAATCTGTGTTTGTTTGCAAAGTTTGCTTATATTTGCTAAAATAAACTGTATTTTTGTTACTAAACAATAAACTATGAACACTAAGGTGGTAGTTCTCTTCTATAGCCATCTCAGTTAAGTATTTAGTATTTTTCTTTACCTTTTTCAGATCTATCTATACAAGTTTTCAGCAGCATATATATGTATGTATGTATGCACGTACTATATGTATGTATGTGCATACATACTGCAGGGCTGCCAGAAGGTTGCATAAGACCAGTAGCTTTTAAACCATTAACTATGGGCCAGTTATGTTTTGGAGGCAGGATTATGATCCTTCAAGGTCTCCATCTCTTTAGCCCTAAGAAACTCATAGTAATACTTAAGGCTGAGCTCTCCAGCCGTCACACGAGCCACTTATCCCCCCTGTATCTACTCCCACTACCAAAGCTCGACTCATTGAGCTTCAGATTTCTAATATGGCACTAAAGATGCTTCCTAGGTACTTTCATGAAATTGTAGGGCTTGATCTGCAAGCTCCACACGTCTCTCCCATGTTGCTTGGTGTGCATTGGCAGTAGAGAAGGACAAGCGGGTAGAAAGCTTGGAAAAATGAACAAGGGAGTTCCTCTGCTCAGGGCTTACAACATCGAAAGTGCCAAACACAGGGGGAGCTGGAGGGAGGGAAAGGATGGAGGAAGAACAGAGGGAGAAGAAGGGAAGAAGCTGATTTACCAATGAAAGTTCAGCAGTTTCCAGCATCAGGCTAAACAAGCCGTTACTTAAGCTAAAGAGCCCATAGTATGAGCGCTCAGCGCCATGTTTCCCCATAAGCAGTTTTCTTGGGATGTTGTGTGTTTATGACCAGAAGGATTCCTGGTTCCTAAGGCAGCAAATAGGACATCACTGCAAGAGGAAAAGCTGCTGAGTCAAGTGACTGCATTAAAACTCTGCCAAATTTACCCTTTCTGAAAGGCAAATAATAAATAATAAATCTTTAATCATCATATTTAATCCTACATTGTCACATACGCCCCCCTTATATATACTCCATATAAGACTGTACGAGCCATTTCACAGAAGTCATAAAAAGTTAAGCATAAATTAGAGTCCACTGGAAAAACTGAGACACGAAAATCTGTGATGCCATTCATTACTAGACACTTTCAAAATAGTCTTTCGACTTCCTTGCACACACAAAAAAGGTGTGTGTGGCCTGCTGCACTGCAAGATGCTAGACACTATGTTGAGAGAATCTCACAAAAAATATAGAAACGAAAACATCTGTCTAAATACCACTTTTCAAAAGATAGTAGTAACATCTTGATTGATAGCGAGAGCTAGTGGATAATACAAGGCTAAGAGAAAGGGTTTATATAAAATTAGCTAAAATAGACAGCTTGCTGCCAAGGCAAAAGATCTGGGGGATATATTATACCAGGAATCCTTTGAAGGTTGAAGAAAAGTGTTTCTAAAGAATCAACATGGGGATTGTGGGGGAGGAAGAGA